AACATCATGCCACTAGGCCAGTGGGCCTTGGTGACGAAGAGGAAACTAACTAGATATGTGAGATTGCACATTACATTAGTAATTAGAGAATGTTTTCATGAACAAATATTTTTAAGAAAAAAAACTGGAAACCATCTGATTGTAATGATGATAAAATTATAAAGGCAACATTAACCCTTTGGCCTTCAACTGGCCCCTCAAATATTCATTCTCAATGTTTCACATGCCATCACCCACCCGATGTATACTCTGCCATAATATATGATGACACCATCCTAAATAATGCAGAAAGCAAGAGACTTTGACATGTACATTTTTTTTTTTTATGTAAGGTTCACTATGTACAAGGCCTGAGGGCCACTCAAGGTATCTTTTATGAAAAATATTTAGGTTATATCTAAAAGTTGAGGAAGATAACTCTTTTAGACTTGAGCAGTTTAAGATTAGAAAAAAAATAATTGAGAAAACATCTTTTCAGTTTTTATTTTCTTTTTCTTTGGGGAAGAATTAAAATTTGGGTGGAACTTATGCTGATGGAATATGAAGAGAATGTGGGTTGTTTGTTAATATGTAATTGGCATGATAGCTGTGTGTGTGTGTGTGTGTTAAACCTGGTGAAACCAAGGTGTGTTTTATATATTTATATATATATATATATATATATATATATATATATATATATAATTATTTATTTAAAAATATGATTCCAACACGATACATAAGAGTTCTCATGTTTGAAAAACAAGAGCCGAAAAAACTTCAATATAATAATTTGAATTAAATTGAATTAAAAGTAATTCTGTTCCATCTTCAAGCGAAATTTTTTGGGAATAACTTATTTTTAAAATTTACATTTTTATAAGCATTTTCATTATTGAAATCAAAATTTCTATGGTAACGGCTAGAGCAATTGTTTAAAGAAAAAGGGGTGTAAGGTGTTAATAATTTGTATCAATATTATAAAGTTACATTCACAGATGTCAAGTCAGGGTAAGGTTGGGGTGTCTAAATTTAAAAAGCGGAAGATGAAAAACGTCTAGTCTGGTTTTAAGTGTCTATGGATATTTATTTATTTTTTTTTTTTTTTTTTTTTTCTGAAAGGGTTTTGTGTATATAAAAACTGTCGTAAATCGCTAACATTTGTTTTTTGACGACTTCAGAAAGGGTTATATATATTGAGGAGGCACGTTGAAGTAATGGATAGTGTCTTGGATTGAGGAATCGGAGAGCAGAGTTAAAATTCAGAAAATAGAATCCATTACATTCACTTAAATTATTATTTACTTTAAAAAAGTATGAATCTGTCTTTCTTTTCCCTCCAAGAATCTATGGGTAGCAGGACAGATTGGATTCTATAGCCTTGGATAGCAACTGGTCTAGGAGTAGAACAACTCTGAATTCAAAACCTGTGGAGGGTCATTTAGGGACCTTGTGGCATGTAGTGCACCAGGTCTCTGTATTCGGCCCTTCAGAAAGTGTGGATGGTCCTGCATGAAACCATCACCACTATAATCAAATCTCATGTGCTCTTGTCAGGCTGTCGGTTTCCTGGGAACTGATCTGCTTGATACATATATTGAATTCGAATGGGAGAGTAGTTTAATATATAAAAGGTAATAAATCCATCGGCATATAATCCAAGTGGATCCTACTAATATAAAATATTAAAACTGATCCACAAAAAGACCTCAATGTATTTATTATAACAGAGTGAATAAATAGTATTACACAACAAAATCCAAAATTACCTCATATGGGGGGGGCGGTAGGTCTATTTCAGTTAACGGAAACTTTCTCATTCTTATTCAACCCTGGTATATAAACTGAGTTTGTGTCAGAATTAGAAATTTAAATGCGACAGCCATCAAAAAATTAATACAGAATTTATCAATTTCAATGTTTCAGTCAGACGAAATGCATTAGACAGTGGAAGGTATTAGCTTTAAAGCGGAGAGGTTTTATAAAATTAAACCTGGATATTAACCTTATGACATTAAATTGGGGTTATATGAAGAATGAATTGCTCATTTGAAACTAAAGGAGGACTGAAAAGAGTTTTATATATATATATATATATATATATATATATGGTTAGGGTTTAAAAATAGAAGTTCCTACTTAAAAAATACTTTTCCAAAAGATAAATTTACTTAAAAATAAGATATATTTAAAAGATTAAAAATAAGTCATATTTAGGTAATATATTAAATTTAAGAATATATTTTAAAAAATTTTATAATTAATGAAAAAAATGTTATGTTAAACAATAAGGTATGGTTTAAACATTTTATTATTGAAGTTAAGGGTGATGTCTAGATACAACTCAGTCTAGACACAAAGTTTTGGTCGATTGTAATAGATCTATCCCTTATATGAGTTAATTTGGAATTTTGTAGTGTGTGTGTTTGTGTGTGCCATCCATCAGCATGGCTGATTCTAACCTCAAGGAGAATGACTTGTTGTTTCTTCTCAGATTAATGTTCTTGGCTGATATGAAGTAGAAAGACTATATTGAATCTATTGCCAGGTCTGCTTGTTAAGAAAGTTGGTTCACTGTATCGTGCTAGACAGATTTTCTCTACAGAATCTATCTTCCATTTCTATAAGTCTACCATTTGTCCATGCTTAGAATTTTGCTGCCACATATAGTCTAGTGCTCCTGCTATTTATTAAGAGACTTGTGATAAAATCCAAAGAAGAATCAGCAATAATATTGATCATGACCTGGCATCTCAACTTCAGTCACTTTCCTATTGCTGGCAGATACTTTCATATAAGCTTTTCGCTATAATACCTAGATGTTATGAATTTTGGCAACAGTGATATTAAAATAATTAAATGTAGGGTCTTGTATGCAAAGTTGACATACCCTGTAAGTTAATTTTTTTTTAATAATGTTCACTCAATACAAAGCCAAAGAGCCACTCAATGTAGAGGGTTACTGTGTGGAGTTGTATTAGCATAAGTAAGGACATGTGTTACGAGCATAGAGTTGAAATAGACTTTAGAAGGAACTGGAGATTCAATTCTAAATAGAAAAAAGGGATAAACCACTATTCTTATTCAAAAGACTGAGAAAAAGTGTGAACCAGATGATAGGTAAACCTATCTATTTCTATTAGTGGAAGAGAGAAAAGTAAGCAAAAAATAAAATGAATAATTAGTGAATAAAATTTCAGAATTCAGTCACAGACATTAGGAGTAGAGAGCTAATGCAGACTTCAAAAGGAATCAGAAAACCAATCATAAATGTTTACCCCATTCTCGCTATTTTATGCTTACCCCATTCTCGCTATTTTATGCTTACCCCATTCTCACTATTCTTTTTTTTTTTTAGCTAAATCCATAATACTGGAATATTAACTGCAGAATCTTATTCCATATCATCATTTGCCTAATATGAGAAATTTTGAACAAAAATTAAAGTCAAAAATGTGTGGAGTTGTATTATACACAAGTATATATTTTAAGAAATTTTTACTCAGCTTAAAAAAAAACTTATTTGTAACAGCAAAATCTCAAATACACTCAGCACAATAGATAATAAAACACCAAGTCGACAGATGTTGATAACAATTGTCTACAAAAGGCATTTGATATATCGGCCATATTTGTTCTTTGGAAATTAGTGGCATGTTTAAAACTAGAAGAGTGTTACTTACAAGATAAAACTTGCTTGTCTTTTGTTATAAAGTTTTTTCTTCATTCTTAATGAATGACATTTTTGTTTTCATATTTTATTTATATATTGAAATATAATAAAATCATACCAAACAATCATGGTGCTGTTTTTCCTATGGAAATATATCTTCACCAGGAATAGAAATTATCTTTGGTGTGCAGTCCCCAGTTTGGGAAAAAAAACCATGACTCACCATTTCCTTGTTCAAAGAGAATATATCCTCGCTAAGGACATAGCAAATGAATCCGACCTGCTCAAAGCTGGACTCCTAAATATGGCTTCTCCAGAAACACAGAAGGATCTCTGGCAGACTCAATTTCTGATAGGAATTAATAAAAGTAAGACCCTGTCTTTTCATTCCTTTTCACACTGCTGCTAAATAACATGTCTTATAATTATTGCATAGTGCAAATGTAAATATGTATATATAATTTTGGGTATGACTTAGTGGTATAAAACTCCAGTTATTCTATTCTGTCTGTGGAATAAGGTGTTGTTATATCATGGATATTATAATGCTAATAATTGGGAAAATAAAAACTGGGAGAATAAAACTTACTTCCATAGCACACCCATTTGCTGGTGACTAACCCAACATGTGATATTAACCCTATTACAGTGATATTAAATGCTAATAATAAGGGGATTTCTTATATGCCATCAAATATAGCCATTCTTTTATTCCTTGTTCAAAGAATCTGGGATTATAACTGAAAAGAATTCTGATCAAGCTAAATTTATCTTTTCTTCAGTTATCTAGGTTTTGCAATGAATAAAAAGTTCCAGTGATCTGATTAAGCCAAAATCTGAATATTTTAAGCTGATTAAGTCAGGAGAATGCAATAAAATTCCTAAACTAATGATATAATCTCTTGGGTTTGTCCTACAAAGTGTAGGCATTGTTATATGAAAGAATATTATATTTTTTATTGGCCAGATCAGGCAATTCCTCAAAATTTCCTTATTCTTAAAGATTTGCTATGCCACGAGCTTACTATACATTTTTGTATTATTAATATGCTGTGTATTATTTGATATGTCATGTAATATCTGGAATGTTATCAGTTCTGACCTGGCATCTTAGTTTCAGTCACTCCCCTGCCCACAGTTCTAACGTAACTATCCAGTGCGTTTTATATAAATAGTTTCATGGTCACTGTTCTGATGTGCTTTCCTTTTTGGTGTCTCAACTTTACTAAATTGGCAGATAAGTCTCATAATTTTACTGTTGAAATTGCTAGATGCAACCATAAGCTAACAGTCTCTTCTCTTGCACCTTTTCACTTGTGGAAATCTCATCAGGTTTCTTGTTTTCCAATCAAAGGAACATGAAGGGAATGAGAGGATTTCCACTGTGAAAATGGCACAGTGGGACCCAGACAAGAAGGGAACATGGCACGGTGGGACCCAGACAAGTAGGGAACATGGCACGGTGGGACCCAGACAACAAGGGAACATGGCACGGTGGGACCCAGACAACAAGGGAACATGGCACGGTGGGACCCAGACAACAAGGGAACATGGCACGGTGGGACCCAGACAACAAGGGAAGTACGGTGGGACCAAGACAACAAGGAACATGGCACGGTGGGACCCAGACAACAAGGGAACATGGCACGGTGGGGACCCAGACAACAAGGGAACATGGGACCCAGACAACAAGGGAACATGGCACGGTGGGACCCAGACAACAAAGGGGAACATGGCACAAGGGAACATGGGACCCAGACAACAAGGGAACATGGCACCGGTGGGACCAAGTGGGAACAAGACGGTGGGGACCAAACAACAAGGAACATGGCACGGTGGGACCCAGACAACAAGGAAAGGGAACAGACAAGAAGGAACATGGCACGTGGGACCAAGACAAGAAGGGAACATGGCACGGTGGGCAGACGGTGGGACCCAGACAAGAAGGGAACATGGCACGGAACATGGCACGGTGGGACCCAGACAACAAGGGAACATGGCACGGTGGGACCAAGACAACAAGGGAACATGGCACGGTGGGACCAAGACAAGAAGAGAACATGGCACGGTGGGACCCAGACAAGAAGGGAACATGGCACGGTGGGACCTAGCTAAGACAGGACATGGAATGCTGAGACCCAGCTAAGAAAGTCTGAGCTGGTGTGACTAATGAATGTAACTCATCTGAATATTTTAATAGCAATAGAGTAGAGAGAATCTAGCATTGTTTTGTCAGTGGAAAGGGTTTGTAAGGTGGAAAATAATTTATCACCTGCAAAGATGCGTAATCGTTTTTGAACCCTGTAAAGTCTGAACAGTAAGTATTGGGCAGCACCTTCCCAGATATGGCAATAATACTCCATTCTCAATCTAAGCTGGCTCTTTTCAACTTAGAGCATTGCTGTAGGAGTTAGGTATTTTCTGGAGTGATACAAGAAACTGATCATTCTTCCAGTAAAATCTTGTGAACATTCAAACAATATATCTGCAGAATAAGGCCTTTCTTTTTTGCATCACAACTTGAGTCTAAATACTAGTGAATTATAGCACAGTAAGAATCTGGAGAATTCATGGTGTAGACTCCTTTACAGCTCTGATTTGCCACTGTCAACTATCTGGTTTTTCCCCAAATGAAAATTTTTCAACAGATCTGTGTGTCATTACAGGACGTGTCCGCAATCTTGGTTCTCTATAATTTTGTGTCCATTGTAGCACTTAATAGATTTTGTCTTTTTGCTATTTCCCCTAAACCCTGTTCCACCATCCAATTACTCAAGCTCTCTTGGTAGGTTATGCATTGTTTTCCTGTCCTCATGCCTACAGTATGTCCTGTGAGTATCAAATTTTCCAATCCCTCTTTCCTCATTATGTGCTCTAGAATCAAGGACAACAAATTGGATGCAAAATTACTGTGGATGATTTTTGCAATCCATGCACTTTCTATACGTTTTTGCCTTAGTAAATTGCTTTCTCTTTTCATTAAAGCAGCATTTTTAAATCAAAACTATGGTCAGAAGAAGAAAAAATATTTAAGGCTTAAAAATTTTAAAATCAAACATTTCTACATATTTTCAGATATAAGTTTTAGACATAATTTTTTAAAATACAAAAAATTTAAAATTCAGCATTTTAAAATATTTCCACATGTAAATTTTAAAGATAAATGTTACTCATATGCTTAGTGTAAGAGTGTTGTATCTGTGCACTTCTGGAAGTACATCCAAGTTAATTTTACAATGTTGTGTCTTTGATTGAGCTTTGAAGAGTGATGACCTGTTAGCTTCCTTTTGTTGCCATTTATGTCAATATTTTTCAGTTCACCACTTTAGGGAGAGTAATTTTTTTCTGATCCTTGCCTTTCCTTGTGTTTTGGTTTATTATATTTGTATATGTGTTATACCGTACGTATGGACCATAATGGGTATGCCCCAATCCTTATAAATACAGTGGAATATACTGTATGTGGATTCCTTGTGGGCTTCCCCAGTGTGCTGGTTAAACTCTCTGTCTCCAGCCAGAGAGGAACCTAGATGAGGCTATGTGGAAGGGCAGAGTCTCATCTCGGTTGGTAGACAGCTACCTGACCTTGTGTATACGGGGTCTATGGGGAATTTTTTGCCTGAGCCTATGGGCTCGGTTCACCCCACAATAATTTGGCCTTGTGCTACATCTGACCTGTGTGGGGAGGTTAGTGAATATCTTCACTGTGGTCTTCCACTTGGGATTCACTTCTAGCTCACCACTAGCCACTGGCAAATCTTGTATGTTGTTCCTGTTATAAATTATTGTCATTCCATTTTCAACCTTCGTTTTGGTTATTCTTATTCAGTAACCTTTTCCTAAGTTACGTTATGTGAATATATACTTTTTTGAAATATCGGTTTTGTTTTTCTAAAATTCCAATTTCTTTTTAATCATTTCACCCCAAGCAAGGCAGTAAAGCCACTAAGATACAAGGAATTACTGAGTGCGAAAAAATATGAAAAAGAGAAACACTATTAAGAGAGAGAACAATAAAAGAATGAAATTCAAAGTGGCAGTAGATAATGATTAACATCGCATTTACATTTTTGAAGATCAAAGTTGGTTGGAAAGCATGAAACTGAAAGATTTCTACAAACGAGAAATGTGACAGAAGAAACTGTTAACACAGAATTTATGGTTACATCTGGCCAATTTGATTGTAAATTGATAAGACCTTGTTGCTGATCTAGTACTGTGCTTAAATTCATAAAGCCTGAGTATCATTGTGGAAAGTTCACAAGAATTTATCATGTTTATTATAAAACCAATTTGAACAGATATTGTCCAGTGCATCCCTCATTGGTTCAGGAGAAGGAGCATCACAGAAATGAATTTGAGGCATCTCTAAGAATGGGCAACAGTTTGAGAAAAGACTATCTTTGCAGAATTAATAAAGGGTTCAGAACAAAACTCAGAGTTCACCAAACAGAACCAGGAATGGAAGAAAGACATAGTACAATGGGTAGGAAAAATGTGACAAAAACAACTAAAATCAGGACACTACTTCAAATAATATTATATATATATATATATATATATATATATATATATATATATATGTATGTTATGTATGTGCGTGTGTATGACAGTTAAATACTTCAGCATGTTCCTTGTGTAGACTGGTTTGTAAATCCTTTGCAAAATTGATGTCTCATATGAAAAACATAAAAATTGAACTGAAAGACACTCATACATCAAAAACGATGGGAGAGTCTATCATCATCACACATAATTATATATATATATATATATATATATATATATATAATTACTGAGCACACCCATCTGCTAGAGTGGCTAGTCAATCCCTGTCACAAACACCTACTCAGGCACATTTATATTTCTATTATTTTCTGAGCAACACCCACAAGCCCATATGTGGATTATTCTGCAATAATTATTGATAATTATAGCAAAAGGGCCTTAGTTACAGTTTTCAGGAGAGAGTGTATATTTTGTCATAATTAGCAATTTGAATAATGTCAGTACACTCAAACTCTTTTGTCTCCCGAGTTTAACCCCCAAGACCTTTTAGGCAGCAAGTCACCTACCTGATGAGCTTATATGAATGGATGATGAAACAGAAGGCAGGAGGCTTTGCAAAATACAAAAGTTGCTAAGTGCTACAAAGGATAAGAGCTAGTGGAGAGCCATATTCACTGATATCCTTACAGGACACAGCATGTAGAAGAAAAACACAAAACTTTAGATATCGAAAACATTGCAAAACCTTAGATATCGAAAACATAACGCAAAACCTTAGATATCAAAAATACAACACAAAACTTACATATGTAGGCATAGATTTATTGATTATTTTGTTTTGAATGAGAGGTTAAGCTTTGAAATTTTGGTACAGTCTGAGTTTTTAAGCTTCTAATGGACTTACTTATAAACAAGTTCTCAATGATTTGTTAGGCAAGGACGGCAAACAAGAAAAGATCAATGTCTAAAATTCAGCAATAATGCACTTTATTCAGACTTGTATTTTTGCTCTTCTATGACTTCTAAATTGGAGCTGCATATTAATTTTGTTCATTATACGTACATCTTGACCACTGAACTGAAAAATTTAAATATCTGGAAAGTGTGTTAAACGAGGATGGACATCCTGAAATCTGAAGATGTGGTCGGTCAGTTATGTGCCAAGCATAATACATGCTTAGGTGATCATGTATCTTTCGATACATGACTGACGAGGCAGATTTTTCCCACAGTAGGTTGCTATTTCTTTCTGCAGTAGACCAGTTGCCATCTAAGGCTATAGAACCTGGTCTGTCCTGCTATTTACCCATAGCTATAGAAGAAGAGGATTTATACCTTTCACAAGGCTATTAGTATGTAAGTGAATGTTATGGATTTGACAGGAATTTGAACTTGGCTCTCAGATTCCTCAAACTGAGCCACTATCCATTACTCCACTGTGCCTTAAAGATGCATTTGAAAAGCCAAGCAAAGTATTAAGAAACCAGATAATTTTGTAAAAACAAAGAAAGTGCTCAGATGCTATGTAATATCAATCCTCTCACAAAAACATTTTGAATGTTGGACAATTTCCTCACAGATGAAGAGGAGACTTGAAGCATCAGAGATTTGGTTCTACAGAATGATGCTGAGAATATAATGGAGCATATCAGCAAGAGGAAGTTTTTAGGAAAATAGAAACAAAATAGACACCTACACTTAGAATCAGAAAGAAAGTCTAGGACACAATGAAGAGAAAAGGCTTGGAAAATTTGATACTCACAGTATATATTGGTAGCAAGAGGGACAGAGGAATACAGAGCATAACCTAACTACCAAACTTGTGTAAATGGATGACAGAACAGGGTTTAGGAGAGACTAAAAAAAAAACAAAAAATTACTAAGAGCTAATTACAAAGGACAAGAAATTGTGGAGAGCCATGATCGCCTATACCATGAAAGGACATAGCACATGGAAGAAGTAGAAGACTATCTGACCTTTTCTAGTTGTTTTTCATACACAGAAACATACTCTGATTTTTTTTTAATTGAACACTTTATTCAATAAACTAAGATAGATTGTTCTCATTATGCTCTGCTTGCTTAGGGGAGATCTTTTATCTTTTCTTGGATCAATACCTGTTGGTGCCTGAATAGTCGCTCTTGAATCGTGTTTTCGTTTTACAGACATAGCATCTACATCCCATTTGTGCAGCTTCAGATGGCCGAGTTTTGAATTCAATATTGTCCTTCTCTTACATTGTATCTACACTCTACACTGTCCTTTCATATTGTTTGTGTTGTATCCTTAAGAGGTTACAAACAGACAAAGCGAGTGAAAGGAACAGCAATATGCGCACAGATGAGAGGTTTATTGTAAAAGAGAATACACTACTGAAAGACAGGGAATCAGGTAGCAGGCTAATAATTCCCAAAGCAAAACCCCAAGGTATATCCTGTGCTCTATATATAGCTACTGATATAGTCAGTCCACATAGGCGATAGGGAGTGTGGGACATTCCATTACAACAGTTCACCATAGTATCTAAAAATTGTAGGATATTATATGAAAGG